TTAAAAAAGAATATCTGGACATAAATCCTTTGAGCTAGTATTTCTAAAATTGTCATGTGGTTCTGATGGTCAGTCAGTTTGGGAACCACTGCTGTAAACCTCTGTAATATTGATTCCTTTTCTAGCAAATGAAGAGAACGATAAGATAACGGTGGGCTGGCCAGATAGCACCACAGTTAACCATTATATAATGGAGCCAGATCCACGTGATCAACTGTAATTTGAAGCCAGGACCCGGTGGCCTGAAAAATAAGCTGAGTGCATGGTATCTGCCCCAAACCCTGACAAGACAAAGAAATGAAGGAAAAATGATTGCAGCATGACCACATCCCCTTGATGAGTGCTCTCCCCCCACCTCTCTCTCTCATGAGTGCACAAGCTCTTCAGCAATAAAAGTTTTTTCTAAAAAAAAAAAAAAAAAGTAATGATATCTCTGTCACAACTTTCTGTAAATAATCTAAATGAAGTCAAATTCAGAGCACACTGCTAGCATTTTAATGTACAGGGAGTATAAATTATGTAACCATATTTGTAGTCTATCTACCCCACTTCTGAGGCCTGTCACAGTCAAGCCACAAGACCTTAAAATTTCAATTTCCTCATTTCTCAGTGGGAGGAAGTAGTAGTTGATGGAGTCAGTGCAAGGATGAAATTAGTGTATATAAAACAATAGCGTAGGCACATTTTTTCTCATTCATTCTTCCTGAAATGGCTCTGCAAAACACAAGTGTAATCATCCTTACCGTAATTTTCAGTTTCATTTGGAGCTTTAAATATTAGGAAGGGAGAAGACATCTTTTATTGATCCAGCCCTCTGGATGCAGCTGATAGTTATTTGAGCCATTCTATTCCCAAACACTGGTATAGTATGGCTTTCAGGGAAAGCGGTTGCAGAAATTTGTTTCATTTGGGAAAAAGTAAGCTTCTTTTTAAGTTTTCAGTTATTAAACTTTGCTTATTCTTTGACACTGCAAATCTTATTCTCTCTTTCCTAAGGTATTTTCCTTGTCCTAGGAGTTTCTGAGTTCAAAGGCCCAAAATGTTATTCTCAAGTCTCTCCTGACATTCTAGAATTGTTACATACTTAAAAGAAGCCCTGGAGTACTTGCAAAATTGGACTGTCTCCCCCAGATAAGAAGTCTTCTAGATTTCTAGGATGTATAATGAAGAGATTTTGGACATAACTTTTTCTTATCTGTCCTGTCTTTTAATCTAATGTTGTTTGTTTAGAATCCACACAAGGGGGTTATACTGTTGTATATATAAAGAGGACTACTGGGGATCTGAAAGGTGCAATGTGAACCCCAGAACTGCCTGGCGATAGACATATGTATATAATCACAACTCTTAGATTCACCATTTGTATTTAGTAAGCAAAATGATTGCCCATACTCTCACCAAGCTAAACAGCTGATTGTAGCAACTTAACCATTTTTGGAACTTGACAAAATTATTCTCTTTCTGATATTAAGCTGTAAAACATTACTTGAGCTGTTGTCTTTAGACCTCTTGTATGTTTAGTGGATAAAAAGTTTTCAACCTCCCAACATTACTGTAACTTAAGCTTTTACTTTTTAAATTAAAAAAAAATATTGCTGGAGGGCGTAAGCACTTGCCAGAGATAGACAGAGAGAGAGAGAGAGGAAGGACCTACAACTCCCAACAGGTAATACTCATACCACAAAACCTTCTCCACCATTTCTCCATTCTGTCAGGATTTAGGGCATGCTCACACTGGACATGTTTCTCAAGCTGCCAACTTCAGGACTCAAACCACAGAGTTGGCCATGTGGGATCTGGCTGCCTCAACTGGCAGGCCCCTGAACTCCCCATCAGTATGAGTTTTGTGTTAGGGACAAACCATATTCAAACCATAGCAATGTCCCCAGTAAACAACTACCTTTTCTATTCATAGGTATGATGAGAGTAACTATGTCATATTGTGAAAGTATGATAGTAAGATAACTTGTTTTAATAAGCTATTGCCAAGGATTTCAGGAAAGGAATATTTTGCTACAACAGCAATGAGTCACCTATAAATACAGCTTATATTTTCTGTATAGATTCTTTTAGTCAAGGTCTTGGTTTAATTTTGGACCAGCTTTTAAATGCTTTCTTACACGAGAACTATTTTTAACCAAGTCATGATATTCTTTTCATTCTCAGAAGTAGTTTGGTGCGAGTGGAGTTGAGGAGGCAGAAAATAGATGGATCTGATACTGACTAACAAAAGCGTGGAGCAGGAGGACAAAGACAGCTAGCATTTAGAGCAGTGATTTTGGGTTCTTGGATTTCTGTGGCCTTCTTTACCTTAAAAAAGTCTAAGCCTTTTTCTATTTCTTGAATCTAAACAGAAACAAAATGGGCTCTCAACTATTCCAATCTAAGCTAAGCTTCTATTTTCCTACTGGAAAGTACTATTAACTTTCCCCTGAGAAAGACAGGTTATGTAAGAGCCAAATAAATAAGACTCCATTTAAAGGACCCTAAGAGTGTATACAATGAACAAAAAAAAAAATCAATGCGAGCACCTTTGACAGCGGAAATTAGATGTCTCATAATGTTTTGCCAGCTTCATAGAGCATTGTATATTTTCAAGGTACCCTCTATGCCTTTGTGCTCCTTTATCTTCGTTTGCCTCTCTCGTTAAAAATACAATTTTGCCCTTTTGCTAACATTTCATGGGCTTAGGGACTTAATTTTAAGACCTGGCCACAAAGCCATGAATCAGTGGCACAGGCAATACTAACAGCGAATTAACCTGGAAGAATATGTGCTTTGGGGTTATTCAATAACACATTACCATTGATAATTTTTATTTTGAAGTTTGGCCTTCTCCTTTTGTGCCACATGGCATCTAGACAAAAATGAACAAAAGCTGCAGAAAATTGCCCTCAAGAAACGAATGCCTTGTGACGCTGCAGTATCGGTGACATTCTCATATCTAAATATATGGAAGTAAAATGTGAAATGCAGGTTTCAAGTTAGGAGAAGGAGATGGGAAAACAGTTTGCTAGTTATTTGCAATCAAGCATTTTCAGGGACTAAGGAAAATTACAGGAGTAAAGTCTCATTTATTAAACAGATAGACAAAGAAACACGCTATTTAATACAATATCTTACATACCAGATGTACTTGGCTAAACTCTGCATACTTCACCCTTAGAGTTGTTGTTATTTCTAAGGAAGGAGAATTTAAAATAATTTATTTCAGGCAATATTTATTTCTTATAAAGATGGTATGTCCTACAACAGCCTCAGAGGCCTCATTCTGCCCACTCATTTACAGCTCAATGCCCCGACCCTACCAGGGCATTCTTAATTTGCTCTGCTGTTTTCTTTTTGTATAATCTGACATAACCATGAAAACTACACTGTGTGTGTTTATTATTTATTGGCGAGCTTCTCCTGCTACAATATGAATCTAGGAGGGCAAAGGTCTCTGTTTTATTCATTGATACATCCCTAGAGTGTAATGTCTAACACAACATATTGAGTACATAATTGGATGAATGAAGGAAGAGTAAAATGGCACATATTATTCAGTATCTTTTCCAGCCTTATAGAAATTAACTCATGGGGCTCTGACTTAGTTTTTAGTGTTGACTCTGACATTTACTCTCTATGTTGGGTATCTGCCATAATTTACTCTTTCTGCCTTCATTTTACAAACATAAACACTATGGTTTGAAAGACATTGTCATTTCTTCCAGTGTCCAGGGTATTAAGTGATCAAACCAAAAGCAGACTGAAGACCGCACAGCATTATGGGTATATTTCTTTGTAGTGATGTAGGGAGTGAGTACTTCCAGTATTTATCCCACATGATCTAAAATAAAGAAAAAGGAAAAATAATAGAATACATCATTTTTCACTTGATTTATGGCTAGCAGAATCAAATATTAAAATGGTGATAAAAATATAAAATATAAACCCCACAGCTCTAGAGAGCTTGCATTTCGTCGCTAAAGTTTTGAAACTCAGTAAAGAGAAATGGCAAATTCTGTCTAGAAAATGATTCTTTGTGACATTTCAGTGCATTGTCAACTCTATAACCTCCATTTTTTGAACTGTTGCTGGAGGACAGATGCCTTTCCTGTGGGGGTTACACCTCTGTGAGCGGTTAAAAAAGGAAGGGCGAGCTTCCTGCACACGGCACCACTATTCACTGAAGAAGGTTATTTTCGTGCTAAATCATCTGCACAAAACCATATGGTTGGAAGAAAATAGACTGCTAGCCAATATGCAGCATCTCCAGAGGGCCTAGACTGGCATAAGATGCCTGCTGATTTGTTTGCTATTTAAATTAATGCCTTCTTTCCTTAGCTCATTTAAGTAAATTGTGATTTGGGGCAAGAATCCCATTTCAAAAGAATAGAATATAATGCCTTCAGACAAGGAATACTTTCCAGTTTATATACAAATATATAGATGTACGCATAATATATTGCATCGTTGGAAAACTGATGATACATTTTAACATAGAAAAGCATAGAAAAATATGTCATGACTTTCCTGATGGCCTAAAATTATATACACATACATATACATTCATATTTTATTGTAATTTGTGTTATCGTATGCTACTTGCTGACCATTATATACCTTTGCTACAGAAATAATGTAAAAAATACCTCTTGATCTGCCACAACACATATTACAGTCTGAATTGTGTTTTACTCATCCCTAAAATATTCATATATTTGGTTCAGTGTATTATGGAGCTGGATTCCACATGGTTTACTGCAGTTCAAATCCTGGCTCTGGCAGTTTGAAAAATTCACTGGACACATGTGTGTGCGTGCCTAAAATTCTGATGGGAAGCATTAGGCACTGTCTCTCTCTCTAGAGAGCACACATGTCCACAGATTATAAATTGTATCCCTAATGTTCTGTCCTTCAAAATGAAACTGTATGTATAGAGTCTTTAAATAGGTAATTAAATTAAAATGAAGTCATCGTGGTAGGCCTTAGCCCAATATGATTTGTGTCCTTATTAGAAGAAGAAAAGTGAACAGACACATTCGGAGGGAAGACCATAAGAAGACACATGGAGAACACAACCATTCACAACAAAGAGAGACGCCTAAAATAGATCCTTCCCTCATGGCCTTCAGAATACCAACCCGGCTGGCACCTTGACTTCAAGCCTCCAGAACTTTGAGAAAATGTATTTCCATACTTAAGTCATCTGGTCCGTGGTATTTCATTATGGCAGCTCCAGTAAACTAATACAACACATGAAAACACCCAAATTTCTGGACTTAGTTAATGAAAATAACCCCCAAATTGATGGAGGGCAGGTGATTTTTATTCCTATAAAAACAGAAATAATCGGAGAACATTACCTTTGTGGAAAAAAGTCTCCATTTAGGATAAAGTAAAATGTGATATTAAACATAATGATTTTCAGAGAAGTAATAATGATAATTACAAAATAATTAATGTTTGCAATGTAATTTTCCCAGCACCCTTTTGTTTAATGCTAAAAACCCTGTGGAGTAGATTTATCTATCTCATTCTGCGGGTTGACTGTCTGGCTCACTTAGCTAAACCGAACTCAGGTTGTCTAGCCTTCGATCCTATTCCATCACAAGGTCACTTCTGAGCTCTGATTTTTCAATTTGGGTTTAATCTCTTTAGTTAATTCCCATAATGAAGGGAGTCTGTTCTTCTTTCCATTATCTCCCTCTCTTCCTCCCGTTATCTCCCTCTCTTCCTCCCAGTAGTAAAGATAGAGATACTAATAATAGAAATACTGGTTCTTGGTGGTGTATTAGGTAAGTTCTTTTAACAGCCAATAATTTTAAATTATTATTTTGTTCTTTGATGACAATTAATTCAGATCCTTAAAACTCTAAAGTCATTCAGCCTATGGGCTTGCAACCTGTGTCTTAAAATCAAACCATAACATATGTTATTCACTATTTTAGAGTTTCCAAGATATAATACTCAATTACCTAAGCAGAATCCTGTTATTTGCAGCATGATCATTGCTACATTTATTGTTATGGGATTAAGACTGATTCACCTCCATTTTTGTTATTTTCTATATTGTGTAATGAGAATCGATGTTTAGGACAAGGGAATTGTAACTTTTCTAACATTGAAAAGTCAATAGCATCTAGAATGCTTTATTTACAAGTCAAGAAAATGGACATATATGTTTTCATTACATTTTAGAACAAAAGTGTTGAAATAAATGGCACATCATGTTCTTATGTTGAATTTGTATCTTACATTTCTTTCTTTCTTTTTTTTTTTTTTTTTTTGATTGCCAAGGGGTGGAAGGAAGAGAGAAGAAGACATTCAGAAACCATCCACCAATGGGATTGTGGTCATTCTGCAATCCTTTTTCCTCCATTTCCCCATCCCATCTGGATTTTGGGAACACATGCACAATACCAGACTTGTTTCTCAAGCCCCTGGGGCCAGAATTTGAACACAAGGGATCCAGTTCCATATGCACAGCACTGAACCACTGAGCTACCAACTTGGTTCAGCTTTCCTTTTTATTTTCAGTACAATTTGGTATATAGATGTGATTTCCTAATCCTTTGCAATCACACATTATATCTGATTCATCTTTCCAACCTCTAGCTTGTTAGTAGTAGGTGCTCAATAAATATTTCATTCATGAGTGAGTTAACTAAGGCAAGCACAAGTTTTTTTATGTATCAGTTATTGAAAATATGAATGAAATGAGAACAAATCGCTAAGCACTTATTTTGTATCAAAGCAAACTTGTGCATCAAAATAAGAGGACTTATACCTCAGATTTTAAACAAGTGAAGTACTAACAACAGATGGCAAAGTCCTTTCATCTGTGTTAGACAGATTTTTTTTTTTATATTATGAATGGCATTTATCAAATTCTATGGCGTGAAAAAGGGTTTCGTTCTTAAATGTCTGCATTTGGTATCTGGCTTAAGAAACCAAAGTCCATTAGTCTAGCTTATTTATGTCATCACCTCAGCACATTGGACTCCCCTGGGATATTTGGAAAGTAATCCTTCTCCCCTGCTGTTTCAATTAACACTCTAGAACACTCATTATTTTCAGTAGAAACTATCTTTGAGACCGTAACACCCTTCAGCTGGAAATATGTTTTCTGACTGTTCAGAGGGAAAAGGCCTAGGGTTTTTATTAAGCGACTCACATGGGGATGAAAATTACAAGTGGTGGTAGACCTTGGCCAAGACGTTCAGAGAAAGTGATCACCAAGTCCCTCCTGCTGCTTAGCAAAATAACCAAGTCCATACCTTAGGGCATTGCTGAGGTTAAAAAGCTAGAAAGAAAATTCCGTAAGCTCTCCAAATGAGAGGGCCTTTGTTTCCTAAACCACCTGCCTCATCAGCTGAGGTTTCAGGACCTTCTTTCTCTGCCTACTCTTGAGCTGAGAAAGTAATAACAGTTCCTCACACTTTTCGCTTTCTACTTTGTGGTGCCCATCATAAGCCAGCGAGGTTAACTGAACCCCTTTTGATGGACACCCTGTGCTGCCATGCCGTATGTCAGTGTCAAAGAACAGGGGAACATATCTCTGCCTGGGAAAATCTCCAAACAGGAGGAAACCCAGAGAAGATGTTCACTCCTACATAGGCAAATTCTTTTATGGGACTGTACAGAAAAAGACACAAAAATCGGTAGGAATAAGTCCTGCCAAGAACATTTTCTTCTGCTTTGAGTATACTGGAATGAGAAAGACACACAGGATAAAATAAGGATCCTCAGCTCACACAAACTGGCTTTATTTTTAGGAAGCCCTCCACATGAATTTGAAAACACATGCCATTTACTGAAAGGTGACCTTATTAAGAAAATTAGCAACTACATGCTGTAGAGGCATGAAATGTATGATAAAATGGTTCTAAAAATATTCCAGTGCAGCCCTCAGTTTTTCAGAAACTACTTGATTCATGTAGGTGAAATCCAGGTTTATGCAAATCTCATCTCCTTTTCAGTAAACTACTGTCTTAATATAGAGTTGTAGGAATTCTCATCAAAATATTTTATTTTTCATTCAAGGGTTCTTTTTGGTTTTGTTCTGTTTTTTTGTTTTTGTTTTTTTCTATTTTCTGCAATCTTATTCTATTGTTGAAAGTGCAGTGTTTTGATAAACGGATAAAGACAATGTGTAGCAGCTCACTGGGAGAGGGAAGCCAATTTCTGGAACCATTTGTGATAACTTTAATCTCTCCTAATATCTTATAATAGAAATACTGGTTCTTGGTGGTGTATTAGGTAAGTTCTTTTAACAGCCAATAATTTTAAATTATTATTTTGTTCTTTGATGACAATTAATTCAGATCCTTAAAACTCTAAAGTCATTCAGCCTATGGGCTTGCAACCTGTGTCTTAAAATCAAACCATAACATATGTTATTCACTATTTTAGAGTTTCCAAGATATAATACTCAATTACCTAAGCAGAATCCTGTTATTTGCAGCATGATCATTGCTACATTTATTGTTATGGGATTAAGACTGATTCACCTCCATTTTTGTTATTTTCTATATTGTGTAATGAGAATCGATGTTTAGGACAAGGGAATTGTAACTTTTCTAACATTGAAAAGTCAATAGCATCTAGAATGCTTTATTTACAAGTCAAGAAAATGGACATATATGTTTTCATTACATTTTAGAACAAAAGTGTTGAAATAAATGGCACATCATGTTCTTATGTTGAATTTGTATCTTACATTTCTTTCTTTCTTTTTTTTTTTTTTTTTTGATTGCCAAGGGGTGGAAGGAAGAGAGAAGAAGACATTCAGAAACCATCCACCAATGGGATTGTGGTCATTCTGCAATCCTTTTTCCTCCATTTCCCCATCCCATCTGGATTTTGGGAACACATGCACAATACCAGACTTGTTTCTCAAGCCCCTGGGGCCAGAATTTGAACACAAGGGATCCAGTTCCATATGCACAGCACTGAACCACTGAGCTACCAACTTGGTTCAGCTTTCCTTTTTATTTTCAGTACAATTTGGTATATAGATGTGATTTCCTAATCCTTTGCAATCACACATTATATCTGATTCATCTTTCCAACCTCTAGCTTGTTAGTAGTAGGTGCTCAATAAATATTTCATTCATGAGTGAGTTAACTAAGGCAAGCACAAGTTTTTTTATGTATCAGTTATTGAAAATATGAATGAAATGAGAACAAATCGCTAAGCACTTATTTTGTATCAAAGCAAACTTGTGCATCAAAATAAGAGGACTTATACCTCAGATTTTAAACAAGTGAAGTACTAACAACAGATGGCAAAGTCCTTTCATCTGTGTTAGACAGATTTTTTTTTTTATATTATGAATGGCATTTATCAAATTCTATGGCGTGAAAAAGGGTTTCGTTCTTAAATGTCTGCATTTGGTATCTGGCTTAAGAAACCAAAGTCCATTAGTCTAGCTTATTTATGTCATCACCTCAGCACATTGGACTCCCCTGGGATATTTGGAAAGTAATCCTTCTCCCCTGCTGTTTCAATTAACACTCTAGAACACTCATTATTTTCAGTAGAAACTATCTTTGAGACCGTAACACCCTTCAGCTGGAAATATGTTTTCTGACTGTTCAGAGGGAAAAGGCCTAGGGTTTTTATTAAGCGACTCACATGGGGATGAAAATTACAAGTGGTGGTAGACCTTGGCCAAGACGTTCAGAGAAAGTGATCACCAAGTCCCTCCTGCTGCTTAGCAAAATAACCAAGTCCATACCTTAGGGCATTGCTGAGGTTAAAAAGCTAGAAAGAAAATTCCGTAAGCTCTCCAAATGAGAGGGCCTTTGTTTCCTAAACCACCTGCCTCATCAGCTGAGGTTTCAGGACCTTCTTTCTCTGCCTACTCTTGAGCTGAGAAAGTAATAACAGTTCCTCACACTTTTCGCTTTCTACTTTGTGGTGCCCATCATAAGCCAGCGAGGTTAACTGAACCCCTTTTGATGGACACCCTGTGCTGCCATGCCGTATGTCAGTGTCAAAGAACAGGGGAACATATCTCTGCCTGGGAAAATCTCCAAACAGGAGGAAACCCAGAGAAGATGTTCACTCCTACATAGGCAAATTCTTTTATGGGACTGTACAGAAAAAGACACAAAAATCGGTAGGAATAAGTCCTGCCAAGAACATTTTCTTCTGCTTTGAGTATACTGGAATGAGAAAGACACACAGGATAAAATAAGGATCCTCAGCTCACACAAACTGGCTTTATTTTTAGGAAGCCCTCCACATGAATTTGAAAACACATGCCATTTACTGAAAGGTGACCTTATTAAGAAAATTAGCAACTACATGCTGTAGAGGCATGAAATGTATGATAAAATGGTTCTAAAAATATTCCAGTGCAGCCCTCAGTTTTTCAGAAACTACTTGATTCATGTAGGTGAAATCCAGGTTTATGCAAATCTCATCTCCTTTTCAGTAAACTACTGTCTTAATATAGAGTTGTAGGAATTCTCA